GTTTTGTGCTCAGCCCTTTATTTGTCCTGGCAATAATTGGTACCTCAGTTTTGTGCTCAGCCCTTTATTTGTCCTAGCAATAATTGGTGGCTCAGTTTTGTGCTCAGCCCTTTATTTGTCCTGGCATTAAAATCGATAGACCTGCAAAGACTGCGAGAAATATTGATTGGTTCTGTACCAGCTACCTACGTGTTTGTATTCTCAATAATTTAACGCTGCCAATCGTTTAATTAGTGTTTGATTAGAGGTGTCTAATTATCTCATTATGCTGTAGAGTATTGAAGATCTCCCTGAACGAAAAATGCAACCGATGTCAATTTAGTTTCAACGAGCGCCCAAGTGTGTCGGAACATTTTGTAAAAAAATGTTTTAATCGGCCAAAAAACATCCCGATGTCAGTGATTAACTACTAATTAGCTATTAATTTAATGTTGTTTCTGTCAAATGTTATCGTTTAGAAACGATAAATACCTAACGATACATACTTTTACAATCAAATATTTATGATTAGCGATATTTAGTGATCTGTACTTGAGATCAGTATTGGAGTATTTAAAAATTACTAGTTAGGAATGGGAAAATCTACAAATTAAAGGGAATGTATAAAAAAATATCAAGTCATAAAATCAAATAAACTTGTAAGACACTCAAATTTAAACAGACACCATAAAAAATCTAACTGGAGTAGTCTGCCTTTATTTGTAAACACGCCGGAAACTCGACCGGCTCAAAATCCAACATGGCTGCCATGTCGAAACTTGACGGCGGCATAATTTAATGGAGCCCATGTACCACACACAATTTACTCAGCTCTAATGGGTACCCGGCAATAATTGTGTAGCATCACGTGGTTTTTGTCACTCTCGATAGTTACTTATACATGCCGTTGCTATGGAAACGGTTTTAATGTGAGAAAGCTGCGATACCATCCGCTGTTTTTTTAATGGAAACCTGAAACTGGACATGGTTGGTGGGGAATTAGAATTCGCCCTCACACTCATCAGTGGTGTCCTCGCCCTCACACTCATCAGTGGTGTCCTCGCCCTCACACTCATCAGTGGTGTCGGCCTTAGGCCAACTCATTCACCAGCCCCCACCCCCACTCCCCCACACACACTCCAGTCGTCTGTGTAGTACGTCACCTTTGATGTATGCGTCATCAATTTATGCCGTCTCAATGGCTGCTCCTGGGACCCCATCAAACCGGAAGTGCTGCACTAGAAGGGCCATTGTTTCTAGAGCTCAGCCATAGCCTCAGCCCCGGGCCGCGGGACCCCGGGGGTCTCCTGCTAGGTTTCCTGACACAGGCCAGGGGAGGGGACTCTCGCTCGTGGTGGGTCAGGTTACAGCAGACGATCAGGTTAATGGTTCTCTGCAAGTCTGGCACCGTACAGGACCTGTCACGTGGGTCAGTCACGTGGACCTCAGTCACGTGGGTCAGTCACGTGGACCTGTCACAGTGACTTGCTCGATAGTGTCCATGACCTTTGAACTGATGCGAGTTTAAAATCGTGTAACATTGATGAGAACTGATGTCTCTCTGCGCATGCCCATTCACGCTCTGTAGCAGTAACGTCACAATCACACCATACAACAATAAAATGTTGGTTGTTCAACAAGAGAGGTTCCAAATGTAAAAATTGATGAACGTTTCTTGGTGTTTGATATCATTAATTAATTAAGTTACTTTAATGTTAATTGAAATTATTGACGGCAATAGACCGGAAACTTCCGATATTAGCAACAAACACAGACATCCTTGTTATGGTTAGGGTTGGGTTCGTAGCGACTCGTGTCGTCAGGGTTGGCTTTGTAGTGATTCATGTCGTCAGGGTTGGGTTCGTAGAGATTCATGTAAGTAGGTTTGGGTTTGTAGTGATTCACGTCCATAGGGTTGGGTTTGTAGTGATTCACGTCCATAGGGTTGGGTTTGTAGTGATTCACGTCCATAGGGTTGGGTTTGTAGTGATTCACGTCCATAGGGTTGGGTTTGTAGTGATTCACGTCCATAGGGTTGGGTTTGTAGTGATTCACGTCCATAGGGTTGGGTTTGTAGTGATTCACGTCCATAGGGTTGGGTTTGTAGTGATTCACGTCCATAGGGTTGGGTTTGTAGCGACTCATGTCATGAGGCTTGGATTGAGCTACTGCTTGTTTCAATCATGTTTCGATTGAGCTACTGATTGTTTCAATCATGCGTGGATTGAGCTACTGCTTGTTTCAATCATGTTTCGATTGAGCTACTGATTGTTTCAATCATGTTTCGATTGAGCTACTGATTGTTTCAATCATGTTTCGATTGAGCTACTGATTGTTTCAATCATGCGTGGATTGAGCTACTGCTTGTTTCAATCATGTTTCGATTGAGCTACTGATTGTTTCAATCATGTTTGGATTGAGCTACTGATTGTTTCAATCATGTTTGGATTGAGCTACTGATTGTTTCAATCATGCCCACGTTGAGACAACTTTCCCTCACCCCACCCAGCTAACCGGAAGGTGAAGGACGTTAACATGGCTGACTGAACGCTGGCCACATTAATTATTATTTGATTAGCCGTACCGAATTACAAGGTGATGGATTTGACAGTGTAAAATTACTTGAATTTTTTTTCCTCAGTGATAGGGAGGGGAGGGGGTGGTTGTAATATGTGGGGGTAACGTTGACCTTAGAGCCACATCCATGGGGGGGGGGGGGGGGGTGGGGTTGTGGTGGGGGGGTCAATGTGAACTGGGTATGAAACATCGAGAAATTATGGGATGGCCAGATTTGAACTTTGAACCTCCAGGTTATTTTCTGTACCGGAAGTTGCGTAAAATGTCTGACGGTACATCGGTCTGGTGTGGGTGTGGTGTGGATAGAGATGTGAGGGTGGGTGGGAAGTGTTGGGTCGTGTGGGGGGGGGTGAATGTAGTGGGGGTGTGGTGTGTAGATTGTCTTAGAGTAGTTAGAGTGGGGTAGAGTGTGGGTGAGTGGGGTGGTGTGTGGGTGAGTGGGGTAGAGTGTGGGTGAGAGGGGTGGTATGTGGCTAAGTGGGTTGTATTTGAAAGACCTGCCCCAACGAAAGGGGGGGGGGCGGGGTAGACACTGACAATAATGACATGTATGGGGGGGGGGAAGAGGCGAGGTAGTGACTGACAATGATGACGACATGTAAAGATGGGAGGGGGGGGGCGGGGTAGAGACTGACAATAATGACATGTATAGATGGGGGGGGGGGGGGGCGGGGTAGAGACTGACAATGATGACGTGTAAAGATGAACAGCGACAATGTTCACGTTTGTTCACTGACTGAAATGAACTTTCTCCCCCGCCCCACCCCACCCCCTCCCTGGTGTTATCGGGTTCAGCGAACTAAAACAAGTTTCCTAGACGCAACATTCTCCAATCAGGGGCCGCTACTCCGTCAGTTGTTCGCTAGTACCCAACAAGGGGGTAAAGTGCGAACTGAAAGATAAAGAGTTCGTTTTGAACGAATCCAATTTGATACGTGAAGTTTGGCGCCATCTTAAACCCAGCAGACGTGAGTAGGCGTCATGGGACACGACCGAATGTTCCAGACTTTGGTTCTGTGTTTGTGTCGTCTGCTCCTCCTGTTAAATTGTTTGAATGTTTCATCATTTCACTTGTGGGGTCGGTGTCACTTGTCCACCAACACCTAAACACCTGAACACCACAACACCATCACCCCTCAACAACACCACAACACCTCAACACAACACTACAACACCTCAACAACATCTCAACACCACAATCCTTTGGTCGTGCAGGTTTAAAAAAATTGATACTAGCGGCCGTATCGTCCGTGTGTTAGTGTGTGTGTGATGTGTGTGTGTGTATGTGTATGATAACGTGTATGACAAAACGTCAGTGAGATCAAAATAGTGTGTTTTGTAACACATCTATATATAGTGTGTGTTGTAACACATCTAAATATAGCGTGTGTTGTAACACATCTAAATATAGTAACACATCTTAATGTAATAATTGTTCCGTCACATTTGAATGTAGTGAGTGCTATAAAACAATAAAGCAGAGAAAAAGTTTGGAGAGGGGTGACCGGGGGGTGGGGAGGGGTGGCCGGGGGGTGAGGGGTGGCGTGGGGGTGTGGGGTGGCGTTGGGGTGTGGGGTGATCACTCGAGCATGTTGTACACGTCTGCTGTCAATGCTTGTCACGTGTTGCCTGGAAATGCAAATATTTAAATGATGTGAAGCTCTGGAATTGTGGGATTGTCTGACCCCCTTTTGTAGCCTCCCCTGATTGTGTGTTGTTATTCAATGTCAGGTACCCTCTGTTTGTACACAGTTGTCGCCCTTGGTGGTGTGTGAGTTGTGTTGTGTTGTGTTGTGTGTGTGACAAATGTTCACGTGAAGTTAACAGTTTACGTGTGATAGACTTTTGGTTGAGGTGGACTAGTGTGCTGGGGATTTGTAAGTATGTTGACAATTGTTTCGTAGTTTGGTTTATTTGTTTTCATAGTGAACGTATATTTTCTTGATAATTATTATATATATATATATATATATATAGCATTGTGTAGTTTGTCTTAGTTTTGTCTTGTATTATGTACACCTTCCCCCGACATAGAGTCTAGAACATATGACATAAATCACAACTTTAGTTCTAGAAGATCCGAACTGTTGAGTTGCTTGCTTTGTTTTTCTATTCAGAGATCAACATTTAAATGTAGCATTCTGTGTCTTCTGTACGGTTACAGGAATATACAGACGCCACATTAATGAAGGTATTGAAACCTCCTAAATAGTTACTGACAAAATCCGATCGTGAATTATTTAAGTCGGGTGTGTGTCTTGACATCCGCCGAACCCCTGATACTGACTTACCGAACCACCTGGGTTCGATCTAACCCAGGTTAAAAAACCACTGCTCTAGCCACTACCCACACCATCATTAGAGCAGCATTAAACGGGCATCACGTGACCTCCCCACCCCTGTACCCAATGAGTGTGTGACGTCAGCTTATCTCCTCTCCACAGGCCTGACGTCACAACTCCCCACACCACAGGATCGGATCCTCCACACGCCGGAAGTTGGAGGTCAAGTTTTAAAGGTAAGATTTGTATGCCTGTCTGTCTGTCTGTCTGACTGCCTGCCTGCCTGCCTGTCTGCCTGCCTGCCTGCCTGCCTGTCTGCCTGCTTGCCTGCCTGTCTGTCTGTCTGTCTGTCTGTCTGTCCCTTTGTCTGTCTGTCTGCTGCTAGTTAGCTAAAGCACTTGTGTCACCTGTTCAGAATATTTTACTGTCTCTGACTTGACATTGGTTGTTTTTGGATAAAGAGGTAAGATTTCACACTTCAGGCTGTAACAGAACCTCTGCATGATGTTGGGGTGTAGCCTTGATGTTGGGGTGTAGCCTTGATGTTGGGGTGTAGCCTTGATGTTGGGGTGTAGCCTTGATGTTAGTTGATGTTGGGGTGTAGCCTTGATGTTAGTTGATGTTGGGGTGTAGCCTTGATGTTGGGGTGTAGCCTTGATGTTAGTTGATGTTGGGGTGTAGCCTTGATGTTAGTTGATGTTGGGGTGTAGCCTTGATGTTGGGGTGTAGCCTTGATGTTGGGGTGTAGCCTTGATGTTAGTTGATGTTGGGGTGTAGCCTTGATGTTAGTTGATGTTGGGGTGTGGCCTTGATGTTTGTTGATGTTGGGGTGTAGCCTTGATGTTAGTTGATGTTGGGGTGTGGCCTTGATGTTAGTTGATGTTGGGGTGTAGCCTTGATGTTAGTTGATGTTGGGGTGTAGCCTTGATGTTAGTTGATGTTGGGGTGTGGCCTTGATGTTAGTTGATGTTGGGGTGTAGCCTTGATGTTAGTTGATGTTGGGGTGTAGCCTTGATGTTGGGGTGTAGCCTTGATGTTAGTTGATGTTGGGGTGTAGCCTTGATGTTAGTTGATGTTGGGGTGTAGCCTTGATGTTGGTTGATGTTGGGGTGTAGCCTTGATGTTAGTTGATGTTGGGGTGTGGCCTTGATGTTTGTTGATGTTGGGGTGTAGCCTTGATGTTAGTTGATGTTGGGGTGTGGCCTTGATGTTAGTTGATGTTGGGGTGTAGCCTTGATGTTAGTTGATGTTGGGGGGGGGGGTGTAGCCTTGATGTTGGGGTGTAGCCTTGATGTTAGTTGATGTTGGGGTGTAGCCTTGATGTTAGTTGATGTTGGGGTGTAGCCTTGATGTTAGTTGATGTTGGGGTGTAGCCTTGATGTTAGTTGATGTTGGGGTGTAGCCTTGATGTTAGTTGATGTTGGGGTGTAGCCTTGATGTTAGTTGATGTTGGGGTGTAGCCTTGATGTTAGTTGATGTTGGGGTGTAGCCTTGATGTTAGTTGATGTTGGGGTGTAGCCTTGATGTTAGTTGATGTTGGGGTGTAGCCTTGATGTTAGTTGATGTTGGGGGGGGGGTGTAGCCTTGATGTTAGTTGATGTTGGGGGGGGGGGGTGTAGCCTTGATGTTGGGGTGTAGCCTTGATGTTAGTTGATGTTGGGGGGGGGGTGTAGCCTTGATGTTGGGGTGTAGCCTTGATGTTAGTTGATGTTGGGGTGTAGCCTTGATGTTAGTTGATGTTGGGGTGTAGCCTTGATGTTAGTTGATGTTGGGGTGTAGCCTTGATGTTAGTTGATGTTGGGGTGTAGCCTTGATGTTAGTTGATGTTGGGGTGTAGCCTTGATGTTAGTTGATGTTGGGGGGGGTGTAGCCTTGATGTTAGTTGATGTTGGGGGGGGGTGTAGCCTTGATGTTGGGGTGTAGCCTTGATGTTAGTTGATGTTGGGGTGTAGCCTTGATGTTAGTTGTTGGGGTGTAGCCTTGATGTTAGTTGATGTTGGGGTGTAGCCTTGATGTTAGTTGATGTTGGGGTGTAGCCTTGATGTTAGTTGATGTTGGGGTGTAGCCTTGATGTTAGTTGATGTTAGGGTGTAGCCTTGATGTTAGTTGATGTTGGGGTGTAGCCTTGATGTTGGGGTGTAGCCTTGATGTTGGGGTGTAGCCTTGATGTTAGTTGATGTTGGGGTGTAGCCTTGATGTTAGTTGATGTTGGGGTGTAGCCTTGATGTTAGTTGATGTTGGGGTGTAGCCTTGATGTTAGTTGATGTTGGGGTGTAGCCTTGATGTTAGTTGATGTTGGGGTGTAGCCTTGATGTTAGTTGATGTTAGGGTGTAGCCTTGATGTTAGTTGATGTTGGGGTGTGGCCTTGATGTTAGTTGATGTTTGGGTGTAGCCTTGATGTTAGTTGATGTTGGGGTGTGGCCTTGATGTTAGTTGATGTTGGGGTGTAGCCTTGATGTTGGGGTGTAGCCTTGATGTTGGGGTGTAGCCTTGATGTTAGTTGATGTTTGGGTCTAGCCTTGATGTTAGTTGATGTTGGGGTGTAGCCTTGATGTTAGTTGATGTTGGGGTGTAGCCTTGATGTTAGTTGATGTTGGGGTGTAGCCTTGATGTTTGTTGATGTTGGGGTGTAGCCTTGATGTTAGTTGATGTTGGGGTGTGGCCTTGATGTTTGTTGATGTTGGGGTGTAGCCTTGATGTTAGTTGATGTTGGGGTGTGGCCTTGATGTTAGTTGATGTTTGGGTGTAGCCTTGATGTTAGTTGATGTTGGGGTGTGGCCTTGATGTTAGTTGATGTTGGGGTGTAGCCTTGATGTTAGTTGATGTTGGGGTGTAGCCTTGATGTTAGTTGATGTTGGGGTGTAGCCTTGATGTTGGGGTGTGGCCTTGATGTTGGGGTGTAGCCTTGATGTTGGGGTGTGGCCTTGATGTTAGTTGATGTTGGGGTGTAGCCTTGATGTTAGTTGATGTTGGGGTGTAGCCTTGATGTTAGTTGATGTTGGGGTGTAGCCTTGATGTTAGTTGATGTTAGGGTGTAGCCTTGATGTTAGTTGATGTTGGGGTGTAGCCTTGATGTTAGTTGATGTTGGGGTGTAGCCTTGATGTTAGTTGATGTTGGGGTGTAGCCTTGATGTTAGTTGATGTTGGGGTGTAGCCTTGATGTTAGTTGTTGGGGTGTAGCCTTGATGTTGGGGTGTAGCCTTGATGTTAGTTGATGTTGGGGTGTAGCCTTGATGTTGGGGTGTAGCCTTGATGTTAGTTGATGTTGGGGTGTAGCCTTGATGTTAGTTGATGTTGGGGTGTAGCCTTGATGTTGGGGTGTAGCCTTGATGTTAGTTGATGTTGGGGTGTAGCCTTGATGTTGGGGTGTAGCCTTGATGTTAGTTGATGTTGGGGTGTAGCCTTGATGTTGGGGTGTAGCCTTGATGTTGGGGTGTAGCCTTGATGTTGGGGTGTAGCCTTGATGTTGGGGTGTAGCCTTGATGTTAGTTGATGTTGGGGTGTAGCCTTGATGTTAGTTGATGTTGGGGTGTAGCCTTGATGTTAGTTGATGTTGGGGTGTAGCCTTGATGTTAGTTGATGTTGGGGTGTAGCCTTGATGTTAGTTGATGTTGGGGTGTAGCCTTGATGTTAGTTGATGTTGGGGTGTAGCCTTGATGTTATTTGATGTTGGGGGGGGTGTAGCCTTGATGTTGGGGTGTGGCCTTGATGTTAGTTGATGTTGGGGTGTAGCCTTGATGTTAGTTGATGTTGGGGTGTAGCCTTGATGTTAGTTGATGTTGGGGTGTAGCCTTGATGCTAGTTGATGTTGGGGTGTAGCCTTGATGTTAGTTGATGTTGGGGTGTAGCCTTGATGTTAGTTGATGTTGGGGTGTAGCCTTGATGTTAGTTGATGTTGGGGTGTAGCCTTGATGTTAGTTGATGTTGGGGTGTGGCCTTGATGTTTGTTGATGTTGGGGTGTAGCCTTGATGTTAGTTGATGTTGGGGTGTAGCCTTGATGTTAGTTGATGTTGGGGGGGGGGGGTGTAGCCTTGATGTTAGTTGATGTTGGGGGGGGGGGTGTAGCCTTGATGTTAGTTGATGTTGGGGTGTAGCCTTGATGTTAGTTGATGTTGGGGTGTAGCCTTGATGTTAGTTGATGTTGGGGTGTAGCCTTGATGTTAGTTGATGTTGGGGTGTAGCCTTGATGTTAGTTGATGTTGGGGTGTAGCCTTGATGTTAGTTGATGTTGGGGTGTGGCCTTGATGTTAGTTGATGTTGGGGTGTAGCCTTGATGTTAGTTGATGTTGGGATGTAGCCTTGATGTTGGGGTGTAGCCTTGATGTTGGGGTGTAGCCTTGATGTTGGGGTGTAGCCTTGATGTTGGGGTGTAGCCTTGATGTTAGTTGATGTTGGGGTGTAGCCTTGATGTTGGGGTGTAGCCTTGATGTTAGTTGATGTTGGGGTGTAGCCTTGATGTTAGTTGATGTTGGGGTGTAGCCTTGATGTTAGTTGATGTTGGGGTGTAGCCTTGATGTTAGTTGATGTTGGGGTGTAGCCTTGATGTTAGTTGATGTTGGGATGTAGCCTTGATGTTGGGGTGTAGCCTTGATGTTGGGGTGTAGCCTTGATGTTTGTTGATGTTGGGGTGTAGCCTTGATGTTAGTTGATGTTGGGGTGTAGCCTTGCTGTTAGTTGATGTTGGGGTGTAGCCTTGATGTTTGTTGATGTTGGGGTGTAGCCTTGATGTTAGTTGATGTTGGGGTGTAGCCTTGATGTTAGTTGATGTTGGGGTGTAGCCTTGATGTTAGTTGATGTTGGGGTGTAGCCTTGATGTTAGTTGATGTTGGGGTGTAGCCTTGATGTTGGGGTGTAGCCTTGATGTTAGTTGATGTTGGGGTGTAGCCTTGATGTTGGGGTGTAGCCTTGATGTTAGTTGATGTTGGGGGGGGGGTGTAGCCTTGATGTTGGGGTGTAGCCTTGATGTTAGTTGATGTTGGGGTGTAGCCTTGATGTTGGGGTGTAGCCTTGATGTTGGGGTGTAGCCTTGATGTTGGGGTGTAGCCTTGATGTTGGGGTGTAGCCTTGATGTTAGTTGATGTTGGGGGGGGGTGTAGCCTTGATGTTGGGGTGTAGCCTTGATGTTAGTTGTTGGGGTGTAGCCTTGATGTTAGTTGATGTTGGGGTGTAGCCTTGATGTTAGTTGTTGGGGTGTAGCCTTGATGTTGGGGTGTAGCCTTGATGTTAGTTGATGT